GTAATGCATCATGGATCGTGACGGCAGAGGGCGGAATGAGTGGAATGCAGTGGGTAGTAAGTAAGTAATCTTTATTTATATACCGCCTTTTCACTACAGATCTGAGTCTCAAAGCGGTTTACTATTGTTAATTTTTTGGGCATTTGTCTCTCACTCCACACAGAGATGGGAGCGGGGTCGCCAGTAGGAGGCGCATGCTAGAACTATTGGACATATTTTTAGTGGTAGGGGAAACCGGAGTACCCGGAGGAAACCTACGCAGACACGGGGAGAACATGCAAACTCCACTCAGAAAGGCCCTGGTCCGACCGGGATTCGAACCCAAGACCTTCTTGCTGAGAGGCGAGAGTGCTATCCACTCAGCCACCGTGCCGCCCAGTGGGCGTGACAGAAGCTGGAGTAGACTTTCCACGCGAAACTGTATGATTTCAGTGTGGAAGGTGAGAGACCCATCTTCATGTAGGATGCAGCGGAGGAGATGAGGAGGTGAAGAGACGGAGGGACTAGTCCAGGGCGAGGGATTCCATGCAGGGGATCTGGCATGGTGATGGGTTGGCAGAAGGGCAGAGGCGTCGGAACTCCTGGAAGTTGAGATTATCACGCATGACGGAGATCCTCTTTCTCTGCCAGGTGTGATTCCGCCGCGCGCAGGCCACGACCACTGGGAATATCTCGTGTAGGGCAGAGGAGATGCTCCGGTGGAAAGTAGCGGCCACGGCCCGGCAACCCAAGGTCCTGGAAAAAACCCCCAAAACCCACGGAAGGGGCACGTCCGTGTAGAAGCGGAGACCTGTAGGGGCAGAGACATATCGGAGAGGGCCATTGAAGTCGCAGGCGCCCTTACGCTTAGAATCTTGGGTTGGAGAGTAGATAATCAGGATAGTAGGATGGTTGGGAAAAGCCCTGTCTCGGACCGCCTGGAAGAAGAGCCGGAGTTCAGTGCCGCTCAGAGCCGCTGCAGGATGGGCAGCATGATGGGGAGCCTGCGATCAGAAGAGTGAAGAATACAGGTGTGGATGCCTTTGATTAGGAATCCGATTGACGGCTCAGCGCAGCAACTCGGCCAGCTGCATCTGATAGAATCAGAAGATTAAGTAGAACGATGAAGCATGACTGCCGAAGCGACCCTGGGAGCATAGGTGCGAGTCCAGCGCAGCGCGGCATACTCAGCCGGGCTTTATCCATTAGAAGCAGGATAAGCTTCTGAGGAGTGGGTTGCAGCAGTAGCAGTAGCAGTAGCAGCAGCGGCAGCAGCAGTAACCTCGGATAATAACGCAACAATCCTGTATCAAGCCGCGGCAGCAGCAGCATCCGTAGATAACAACGGCAAAAACCTGTATCGAAGCCACAGCGGTAGGATATGTTGTAGCTGTTTAGTGTTTCAGAAAGAGAAGCGAAGTGAGGAGAGATGACAAAGTACATGAAGCAGCAGCAGCACGGCAGCAGTAGCGGTAGCAGTACAAGAAGCAGCATTAGCGGGAGCAGCAGCACCACGATGCGATCATACGAACAAACAGACGTGTCACGCCAGCGTGCGCCGCTTGACTCCGTGAGCCAGGTTACGTACGCGTCTGAAGGAGCCGAGCCGTAGAGACAGGTGCAGCCTGGGAGCCTGTGGAGCGGCAGCGGCTGCTTTGGTTATGGCAGATACGCATGAACGATCACTGATCCATGCGTTCATAGCTCCAACACCACTTCACACCCATTGCAGATTCACCTTGGGCCCTTTTTCATTCTGCTGCACTTTCAAAATGCAACAACTGCAGTTAGTTACCTAATTTAACACCAGCGAGCTAGCTATTTAAATGCATGGTTTTACTGCAAGTGGCAGAACATGAATCTGAATTAATGCACTTTGCTCCTCTTATATCCCTCAGACGATAGAGATTGAAGCCATTTAATATGCATTGCCCCTCGGTTAGCTCAACACATGTGAAACGGAGCTTGCAGACCAAGCACGGGGCGAAAAAACTGGCGCCTGCAGTCAAGTGCGCGGGGCAAAAACCAAACGCCTGCAGCCCAAAACTCCGGGATTAATCTGTCCGCGGTCAGCACACTCACTGTACTCACATGCCAGGAGACTTGAGGAAAGCAACGGGACAACGCGGCACCGCCAATCGAGGCAGGGACACGCACGGCACCGCCAGACCTTCTGCGTGCGGCAGCAGACCACGAGGAACGAGCCGCACGAAACCCGCGGAGGGCCCCGCGGAGCAGCCCGCAGAAAGAGCCCGCAGAGGAGGAGAGCAGGAGATATGCGAACCACAGCAGTGCAGGGACGCAGAGGAGGAGCAGACCAGTGCAGGGACCAGACCACAAGCAGCCAGACGGAGGACACCAGGGTCGCGCCGAGTAGCGTGAGTAGACGAAAACGATTCCTCCAGACGATTCTCTGCAAGGCTTCGAGGGCTTGCGAGGCTTCGAGAAGTGCAGGCTTCGAGAAGGCAGAGAGTGGGAGTTTCTCCGCTTTTAAGCGGCTTGCCTGGCCGGTGCGGTGATTGGAAGGGGCGTTTGCAGCGCGATAGGCTGGGGATGAGAACCGGCCTGGAGGGGTTACCTTTGGCTGACGTCTACCAAATTGAACTTTCGCTGGCTGCATTACTCAATTATAAGAACGTTGTAATAAGCTATAAATTCAACATGAGGCTTATGTTCTGTGCTAAGCCTATTTGGGGAGTTTGGGGACCAATACATTTCTATTTGTGGTGCAGAATAAGTGCAGCATAAGCAGCTGCCACAGGAGAATGTCCATAAACAAGTGCGTGCTTATGTAAAAGTGAAGTCTGTATGCGTAAAATCCTCTGATTACGGATCCATCAACATTTAATCCGCATTAAATCTCAAACAAAGCTGCTTTTTATCCAGTCCGCACACAGAAGGCGGGGCTGGAGGGCAGCGCTGCAGGATTTTGGCAAAATATCTATAATCGTGCTCTTTATGACAAACATGGAGTTTTAACAGTTGGATTCAGCGCAAAATTGCAAACATTGTCTTTATAGTTTATTTGGAATGACTTTAATTCAGAATTTTGTTTGTTGTTGCTGATGTTTCTTTAAGGACCAGAGATCATTTTACTTCAACCTATTATTATTGTTATTATCTTAAGGAGGAATTGCCAATGGGTAGAGAAAAAATGTCGTCATTGACAATTGAGCAACAACAGAAATGTTGTTGTTGTTGTGAAAGGTCTGGGCCGTCGGTATAAGATACAATATCAATGTCATTGTGTGTGAGATTATGTATTTTTTCAGTAAAGGGTAAAGGTGCACTTTATTGATCCCCGTAGGGAAATTCAATCCTCTGCATTTGACCCATCCTGATGCTGCTAAGGCTTACATCAGAAGAGCCTTAGCAGCATCAACCATTTGGTTGCCGTAGAACAGCGCCCGGATGTTGATCCGGTCAGGACTACTGGAGCTGGAGGATTTAATCTAGTGTGCATGTTTTGAGTGGTAGGGGAAACCGGAGTACCTGGAGGAAACCTACGCAAGCACGGGGAGAACATGCAAACTCCACTCAGAAAGACCCCGTTCCGACCGGGATTTGAACCCAGACCCTTATTGCTGAGAGGCAATGCTAGGCAGTGCTATCCACTCAGCCACCGTGCCGCCACATTTTAACACATTACTTATGAAATACACATCCATTTTTGTGAGTAGATTTGACCTGACAAGTAATTTATCTATCCCAATAATATTAGAATCAGACTTTGCAGGGTGGTCATTCCTACTACTGTCAAACTGAATATACAAATAAAATAGTGGCATGGCCTGTATAGCGGGATGGGGGCTTAAGTGAACAATGAGAGTGTGTGTGTGTCTTGTCCCTGTTTGCTCTACCGACTTAAGACAACCTAAAAAACAGTTTGAAATGACTGTGCTCTCTTTCATATGTGCGTGGCTTATGTGGTCCGACAGCGCGGTGCCTGCTGTGCTCTCAGGGGCCCCGCAGCCACTACTCTCCCCTCACACTCCTGAGCTCGCCAACATACGGCACGCGCAAATCTCCCCGTTCTGCGCTCTGGGACCAGCCCGCAGCCAGAGAAAACATCCTTTAACCCTGAATGAGAAGGTCGAGAGAAGCCGAGCGCTTGAAAAAATAGCATGAGTACGTAGAAAAATAGAAAAATCTCGAGAGGCTGTTTCAAATGTCTTTGGCACTTTAGAAAAATGTACAAACAGACTTACATATAAAAGGCAGGCTTGAGGGATGAGAATCTAAAGCATGGTCGACTACAATTTTGCTAAAACACTATATTCATGGACAGCTCATGAGCTCAGTGCAATGCCTACTATTTACAACATAGTTGGAGTAAATTAAAACCATGACACTTTTACTGGCTTGCCTGGAATGTTCCACAGCTAAACATTAAAGTGAACTCATCTCCAGTATATCTGTGGAGACAAGTTTACACCAAAAGGCCAAATTATTAGGTGAGATCTATTTTTGGAACAGTTTAATTAACATTCAAAAGATCCTATAGTTTAAAATTGTGGTGGAGGGCAACAGAACCATGGAAACTGTCAAAAGACTCCCGTCTTAGTTTATGGTTAAGTAATTCGTGAACCAATTCACATGAAACAATATCAGTGACAAAGTCCATCACCTTCTTTGTTGACACATAAATAATATATTGATAAAATATAATATCTATATATCTAAAACATTTGTTTTAAAATGGATTCTTTCTCCTTGAGTCATTGTTTAGTTACATTCTGCAGAATTCTACAACATGAACCAATTGAGTGTGTTCATTTTATTACAAACTTGGACATGTCACTGCTCCATGAAAAGAATTGATGCAAAATACCACTAGAACCAGCGCATACTTGGAACATTTCAGGCAAAGCACCTCTATGGAAACAAGCCCCAAACAAGGTGGCGAACTCTCCGCACCTTCAAAGATCTAAGAAAGCAATTTTCCTCAAATGTCTTTCAAAGTCCAATTTAGATTCTCAACCCTCAAAACTATTTTTAAAGCTACTAAAACATCCCAAATCTTATCCGCATATGAGTCTGGCAATGCCCGGGTGGACCTGCGCCTGGATGGGCCCGTACTCTACAGTCTCCCCGTCCACAGCGATCATTCCCTGTGGCGTGAGCGGCTCCAGCCTGAAGGCCTTCACCTTTTCGTACAACAGATACGGACAGCCGCATTCCAGATGAGCGCCTTTCTCCATGGCCAAAAACAAGCGAAGGAGGGCTGGGCGCGAGATTCCCCCCGTCACATAAAACAAATGAATCACGCCGTCGTCCGCCATCGCTCCGGGTACGGTCCACAAGTCTTCAGCCAGATGGGATTGGTAAATGGCTAAAACTAGCACAAAGTCTTCCTCTTTAACAACGGTCCAACTTTCTGGAACTGGCTGATCCAAACTCGGGAGCAAGGAGTCCAGCAATCGCACTTTGGTTTTGCCGTCGCTTTGTGTTTCAATAGAGGTCTCGCTTAATGTGTTTTGATTTGAATTGGTGCTGCTACAACGCAACAAAGAGTTCTGGTTTGGGGATTTCGGAATGACGCGGCAAGGGAGAGACGAGCAAAGCGAAGCAGGTGTAGAGTTCCGTTTTTGGGTCTTGGAAGTTTCGTCAACTGGTAGGAACATGAGACGGCCTTGGTAAACTCGTAAGGTGGCCAGACGGACCAAAGTGCCCATTAGAAACCGGATAGGTCCCACGTGGCGGTATTTTTCGCTGTCCACATCCACGTCGGCTACAAATCCCCAGGCGATGGAGAGGAAGGAGAAGAGCCGCTGCCGGGAGGAGAGCTGCACGGAGACCAGGTCCATGGAGCCCACCAGGCCTTTGCACAGCATGAAGCCGCAGCTCAACAGAAGCTCCTCGTTCCAAGCTGGAGGAGCCCTGGTGAACAAAAGACCAATAGGATAAATTATATGACAGTTTAAAAAGACTTGTTTCAATAACAAATGGAAGTTAGGAGTTTTTTGCCATGTGTTTATACAGCATGGACGTTTTATACAACTGTAAAAACTCCCAATGTGAAAGTCAATTACTTTTCAAACTGTTAAGAGAGAATTCAACTTTTTGAAGACGAGCAATGGTTAGACCCGCCCACACTCACCAATCCAATCCACTTTATATATATATATAGCACATTTCATAAACACAATTTCCAAAGTGCTGCACAATAAAATACTCATTAAAATAGGGTTAGGGTTACATTATTTTCTTAAATGAAACAAATAGATTTGCTGACACCTTTAAACCAAGTTAAATCTTGGATTTAGCATGTATGTAGCCATTTTTGTCCTTGACTAACGGTAGAATGCTATTTCCATGGATATTTTTCTCTGTGAAGCATTTTGGAAATGTGTTTCATAAATTGTGTTATATAAATAAAGTGGATTTTATATCATGAAGATTCTCTTGTGATGACAGCTGAGTGCTCACTGATCACTATTCACTTATAATACAACAAAATTAGCATCCTTCATTTAATCAAGAGAAATTATGTGATAGTGATATACAATATTTTTTACCAACTCGCAATATGATTGTGTCCTGTTTGTGATACCAATATTCAGTGGAGCATTGTTTACATTACTAATATCTACAAGTAGATATTAGTAATGTAATATCTACTTAGTAAGTAGAGATAACTAATACAAAGGGCTCATTTCAATTAGTGTTTGGGAGTAATTCAAAACTGTCTCATAGCAAATGACCACTGAAGTAATCAATATACTGTATGTCCTAATGCACAGAGAATTTGTGATGAGCACTTTTCTCCAACAGCCTGATGGTCCCTGCTTCATTAAACTCCCAAACTGTAGGTATTGTGCATATTTTCCCTGTGTAAATCTCCAGTTAGGTAAACCCCTGACCATGAATGCAGCTCGAGATCTGAAGGAGGGTCCCCTGGCGAAGCATTTGTTGTCCTTGTTATTTGTGTATTTTGGGAAACACTACTTAGCATAGTGTAACTTTAAGCAAACATGGCTCAACATTTGCAACGGAGGCAACAGAGATGGAAAGAAGAGTTCAGAAATAACTAGAGCAAGTAAGGAGAACTGCATGAGCCTTAACTCTACATACAATGAACGCTTCTATTTTTGCTCCCATTTTTGCTCTCATCTTTCATAGGAAAAAGCTATAAAAAACCTATAAAGCTATATAACTCTGTATATGAGTAAAATAGACCACAATAGATCGGGGGTCATCTCTAAGTTTCCAGGCTGATGATTCATTGACAATGTTTGGAATGCTCTGGATCGCTGAACCTGACAACTTGTTCCAGTTTCTGCCTATTTACAAACAATTGACACAGCTATTGAAGAGGAACTGACAAAAACAATGTGATTCGGAAATGTGAGCGGTCAATAGTGGTTGACCCCCCCCTTCAATAAAAGAGTGTTCTTTTTTGTTGTGAGTTAAGGCCCGCCAGAGCAGTATCCATGCTGCCTAATCAGCATCTTGCCGCACCTGTGAGATGAGAAGGTTTATTTCAACAAAGAACTCTATCTGATTTTTGAACACTATCTGAGAGAGATGGGTCTATTGAGAGTTAATTCTACAGCTTTAAGTTGAATCCATGGTCAAATATTTTGGTTCAATATAGTAATTATTGGTAGTTTTTATGCATCATGTTCAGTTAAGACGAGAGCATACATATCCCAAGGGTGTGAAAACAACAGAGGTAGGATAACGGTCACATACATTATTCAAGCTTTTTCAAATACTTTTAGAGACTTGCTTTGCTTTTCACATATTATGCTAAACTGACCTTTGGAGCATTCCACCACAATAATATAGCTTCTACGACAATTTATTTTGTTTGTTACATTCATTTGAGTTGACAAGTGATCGACTGGAGATACAACCTGTTTTCCGCTACAAAAATCCACACTGGTGATAGGACAGTGCCTGGACTGTCTGAGCAACAGCACCTTGATTGCAGGAGAATAAGGATTTCTCAAACATTCAGTATATGGATCACTGGTTAATACAACGCCATGTTTAAAAATGAGATGGGAATACCAATACTTAAATGATATGAAAAGTCATTTTGCTTAATAAATAAATGTATGTACTATGTTATATGAACAGAATAGTAACCAACTATCTAGCTACTGTATATGCATGTAGCTGTATTTAGTCCCAATGTTTTTATATTGTGGAACCCGTGTTGTGAATGTTCTGAAGACTTGAGAATAGAATGTTCTGAATGACTTGCCATAGAAAACTGTTGCAGCTTTTTCTATAAAGACACAGTGTGCTAGATTCATTATGGCATGCCTTGGAACTCTCATGAGGATCCGACTTTTACATAAAATAACTCAAAGTAGAGTGTGTGTAGCTATATTTAAAGCTGTGTGTTCTTTTAAATTCTTTGGGTAGTTGTACCTTAAAACCACCAGCAGAGGGTCATTACTTTAGCTCCACTGTGCCATAGCTGCACTATTTGTGGACCATAATCACTTATAATGCCCTGACCATTACACCATTCCTGCTGGAGTTAATAGCAGCCTGACAAGACCACGCAGTCTGCTCCACTGTCCCTCCCTTCTCCCTCCTGACGACCAATGTGCCCAGTCAGCCAGTGGAATAATGAGAGCCAACAGGGACCATCCGTCTTCCTCACAGTTTAAACATAGGCCTGTGCCATTAGCCTGGTGCATTTAAATAGCTGATTACGGCGGGCCTCACTGTGAGTAGTGGTGGACAGAGGCTGCCAGGGCGTTGCCGGAGCCGCCGGGGAGGATGCCGAGGGGGGTCTGGATGGCCTGCTGCCAGTCCTCACGGTCCATCAGCCCATTTATCACCTGCACAAAGTTACACGGTTAGTGCTTTTGGGAAATGTTCAGTTTTGAACTGGATGTGATAGTATCAGAGAGTAAAAATAAAGTGTGTGGTTTATAATTTTACCGAGCCTCTGTTAATTGATTTTAGACTGAGCCAGGTCATATGAGTATTTCACCTTGGAGAGACCCATGAGGAACGCATTAGACTTATTAGATTTAAGCATGTTTATTGATTGAGCATGTTTGGCGCCCTAGGCCCGGGCGGGATGCTGTTGAGCACGGCGCTTGCTCGCGTGCATGATCCCCCCGGGGCCTAGGCACTGGTGACGGCAGAGGCAGTAGGCAACACGCTTCATGCGAGAAGGAGGAGGTGGGGCGGCGGCGGCTTGCAGACTTCAGAAGATCGGGAAGTGGGCGTCTCCGGCTTTTAACTTGCTGTCCTGGTGGTTATTGGTTGACTGGGTGTGGGCGTTGCTGGTATTGATGAGTCGAGGAAGAGCAGCCTGTGGCCTGGCAGCAACAGCCGGGTCTACCACGGTGAACTTTCGCGAAAGCTCCATGCTTGCAATCAAATATCTCGGTAAAGGGAATTTATACTTTTCTTCCCACAACTTCCAATTTTCTGTGACTGCTTAAAGCTAGGGTACACAACTTTTGTTACTGATTACTGTTTTAAGCATGCTGCCTCCACCCTAATAGAAAACACGATGCATAGAAAGAGCCCTGTCAGTCATTATTTGATGCTTTGAACTAGTGATAGAAGCAAACTATCAGAGTTGGGAACTTGTTGAAATAGATTATATAACATAGTTCTATTGTTTGTGCTTTTAAAGTTACATACCCCAGCTTTAATATGACATGTCACTCAGTGCAAGATTAATTTATGTGTCCAAAAGACAACAGAAGACTACAAATACTGTATATGCTAAATAATCTCCAACCCACTAGCAGTAGCCTTTTTGTGAATTGAACACAAAGGTAGGGCCTTTTTACCAGAGGTGTGGACTCGAGTCATGTGACTTGGACTCGAGTCAGACTCGAGTCATGATTTTGATGACTTTAGACTCGACTTGACCAAATATAAAAAGACTTGCAACTCGACTTGGACTTTAACATCAATGACTCTGACTTTCACTTGGACTTGCGCCAATTGACTTGTAAAGACTTGCGTAACCCGGGCCATTTTTACCTTTCTCCGCATCTCTCTTTCTATCTATGCCGTCTCTGAAGAAACAAAGCCTCGCGGTAGTTGTAGCGCTCGCGAGAGAGTTCGAACGTGAGTTCTCCGCAGTTCGCGCAGCAACACTTCCCTAAACAAGCGCACTGCATTCCCCGGTGGGTGTGTTGTCGTAGGGGAGCTGGAAATGAGCGAGCTGCAGGTATTTATCGCGACCTAACGTCATACTTTGTTCTACAAACCGTAATTGATATGCTTTCACTACAGGCGCCTCATACAATTGAATCGACGCAGTTGTCACACTGTGTGCCGTGTTTTAAAGAGGAACTGGTGAGTCAAACTAGCGCTAGCCTGCGCTGCTCTGTTAGCTCTTTCTTATATTTTTCTGTGTGGGCGCAGAGGCCTATTATGAGTATGTTTTTGCTGTGCTCCTCCTGCTAAAGTTTGCATACATTAGATAGTTGTTTTGATTATGTGCACTAAGCTAGATTAATATTTGCACTATTGTTTATGGTGCATTGATATGAGAATCAGTGCTTTGACTGATTGAATTAATTTATATGAGACATTTTATTATGTAATGATATATTGGTAATTATGAGATATTGCTAATGCTGGTCCAGTTGATGGCGAGCTGCCCCAGGTCCAAAGCCTAGACCCCTCATACTACCCCTATTCTACAGTAGGACATTTGGAACAATAACCACTACGGACATTAAACTGATTACATAGATACAGGTCCTAGCCCAATACTCATATTCATATATGCTGCACTTGCTACTTCCCATTAAAAACCCCAAAGATAAAAAGTATGTTGACACGGACTGCTCTGATTTTATGTGTGGTCTGTGCATGTGTAACTGAGCCTGCATCTGGCACAACATCCAATTAGATCACGTAGATAGTTATGATTTACCAGCAGCCAACGACATGGAACAAACTGTTAGTCCATGGGTCAGAGACCAACGAGAATGCACCAGCAAAATGATTCCTAACATTATTTTGTTTGCCTACAAAAGTACGTGGAGACCAACAAGAAACAAATCGCGGTCAAAAAGACTCGAGAGGACTCGAAAGTCAAACCGTAGGACTTGGGACTGACTTGAGATTTGTTGGCCTTTGACTTGGACTCGACTCGGGACTTGCCTGTCTTGACTCGTGACTTGACTCGGGACTTGAGGGCAATGAATTGAGACTGACTTGTGACTTGCTAAACAATGACTTTGTCCCACCTCTGCTTTTTACAGACAGCGTCTGGATGGATATATGCAAATCTACAGTGTAATCAATGTGTATTCAAGTAAAAGTTTCAACTAAATTGCTCAAGTTACATATTGTGGTAAAAAATAAATTAATAAAGTCATAAATATACATGAAGAAAGCAATTCGGAGTTCAAGCTAGTTCACGTTGCTATTCAAGACTATTCAATACAGGGTGATGTAGTGATGTTCAGTGTGTTTTCAGGTCTAGAAAGAGGCAATACAGACAGTGGTATAGCTGGAATTTAACATAATAATAATACAAGTACGGTGGTTCTTTACAGTTTAAACTTTGAGCCAGAGATGTCCTTGTTTTGGTCATTTTTTGGAGATTGTGCCAACTATTGTGTCACTTATCTCAGTGGTTGTGTGTAATCTTTCTGTTGTCATAAAAACATGCATTATCATTCATATTCCCAAAAACCCAAAGAATTTTACCTTGGTGTCTAATCTTTCAAGCACAACTGCATCCTTGGTACAATTTAAGTTGAACCAGGCTGAATAAAGTCAAGATCGTAAAGCATGTGTGGGTGTATACCTCAAACAAGAGCCCATCCCCAGACAGGATGACCAGGGCGTCCCACTGGGTGAGGTCTGCCTTCCTCACCAGCTCCCGTGCGTGGTTCTTCGCCTCTGGACATAAAACACAAATAAATGACGTACCAGCACTGACCCAAGGTTATAACTGTAGATTTGTTGACCTAAAACAAGGGCATAGCACGCAGCCTGTAGTTCCTCCTGGGCAGGATAAGGCGGCTTAGTCCAAAAAAGAGATTCAATTTCGAACTATCAGAGCAGACATATCGCATTAGCCCATCCAGAGGCTACTCAACAGCTCCAAGGCAGCTTAGTCCCCATACTAACATCTGGTGCTCCCAATTACTGTATTAGCGCTTGTGTATGTGTTACTAATGTTAAGTGTGAGTTGCTTGATATGCTGACTGTTTATTCTGTTTCATTGGCGGCATGAGAGTGGATTCCCCTGAGCCGGTCTCAGTGGACCACCCGGTTTGAAAAGCTCTGCTCGTGCCAGCTGTGATTCTGCTGTCTGCACGAGAATTTATATCTGTATAGATGCAGTGTTTAGTGGACTGAGATTATGAAACAACAAATAAAAACAAACAAGAACGAATGCAGCAAGAAAACGTAACTGTATAGAGAATGCATATGAAGACCTCAGAAAAAAGTGTATGGTGTTCAAGGGGGATTTTGAGGTTGTAACTGAGTCCATTTTGAGGCTGTAAATGCAACTGAACCATAGATTTATTATATCAAAAGTGATTATGGTATTGCTGCTTAAAGCCGTCTACAGCATGAACAAGAGGCCACATGCGGCACTGCAGCTTAAATTTCACGTGAGCAGTAAGGAGATTTTCCCCTCAGACAAACAATGTTCACAAAAACGGCCAACCCATCCTCAGCTGAGAGGGAATCCTGCAGATTTCACTAAGGTTGGATTTTAGTGTCCCTTGTCCTCCTGAACTTGTTTTTAATATTTTGAAACACTTAACAAAAACACTTGAAATATGGGGTTATTGTATTTATTATATTGTTATTATTTGGGCAATTTTCACTGAAATACAATGTTTTATGATCAGATTTCTAAGCATAATTTTTTTTCATACAGCTATTGCCTTTACTTAATATTAATCTACAGCCATGAGAAAATAAAGGCTTTTTAAACTTTCTAAACTATTGACCACGAGTTCCTTGGATTTTTTGATTTTCTAAGATCTTTACCATTTGCCTTTTACCTGGAAAGTCAAAACTCACATTTTTTTGTAGCTATTGCCACTACATTTGTAATTTATGTAAACTGTGGATGAAGATATTGAAAGACAAATCAGACCACGTCTTCATCATATTAGAAAACATCCTTTGCATATTTATCAGAGTCAGTTCTGTCTCAAACAGCTGATCTACAGATGTGAGGCCAGTAATACATCCATGCGAAAACAAGAGATAGATGCAACTGTTTTGAGGTCACTGCTACTGTAGAGTCTAATGGATTATATTAGTTGTACATTTTGTGATATTATAGACACCCCAGCAGTAACTCCATTAATATATTTTGTCTCTATAAAAGGATTAATTATTATCCATTTTCTTTAATAATTTTATTCTTTGCGCTTTGCTTATTGCGACTATTCATTAATGCATATTTGATTTGATTGCTTTTAATCCTGCACAATCTATACCACTAAACACAAAAAACAACAACATTACAATATAAAATATACCACCACTATTATCCAAGTGGGGACACAGGCTGAAAATGTCATCCCAAACATAGACCAATCCAGAACACCTCTTTATGTATATATGTATATATATGTATATATATGGAACTACGCCAAACGCACACACACAATTTATAACTATATTGACACCACAGACAGTGCAGTTTCCTTGCTTAAACTAAAGTATTGATTGTTTGCCTCTGAGTAATGACCAAAGTCTTCCGTGTACAATGCGTAATGCTCGGCTTGGTTTGCCCGCTGTGGAGGTCTGAGGAGGCTAGAGGCTCCGCTGCTGCTGACAGACCGGGGCAGAGGGCTGACGCAGCACTGAGCAGCCTGTCAGGGAGAGCCAGAGAGGATCCAGGTTACCCGAGGGGAAGAAATACTATCATCTTTAAAGCTGGGGTGTCTTTGTCAGTTTCAAACCACAAACAATGGAACCGTGAAGTGAAATAAATAGTTTCCCGTTCTAAAAAGTTTATTTTCACATGCATGTTTTTTTTTGTCCTCTGTCACATCTTTAGAAAAGTGGAAAAGAGAGAACCACCATCACTCAGCTCATCAGTTCTCAAAATAGTGACTTAATAAGTTGTGGTCTAATTTGTACAAGACTTATTCTGTAAAATGAAAAAAAGTTAGGTACCCCAACTTTAAAACGTTTGTGCCAGTGAAGTTACTATGAGATTGCAAATTGTGCCAGTTTTGGCTGTATGTTGCAGTGACCTTGGAAAGGAGGGCTGGAAGTCATTGAGAAATTAAAGCTTAGTTGAGGAAAAACGAGATGGAAATATTATGTTGGAAAGATGATATTAGTATAATCCTTGTTTTGAAGATAAAAATATAGAGCACAAAGACAAACTATTGTGAAATTGGATCGCCACATTCATGTTTGAACACAGACTATTATATACAAATACTATAAACAAAACAAAAAAATATCACCTAAAGATATGTCACTATTAGGGTAGAGTTGATGGGAGTCAGCCACCTTGAATAACGTGAGCTGCGTTGCTAGTATAAAGCTAGCATAACGACAGTATGTTGTGGCTTTATTTAAAGTGACTTTAATTAAAGTCAGAAGAACACTTTTGTGGCTTGTGTGCACCGCTGTGATTAGTCCTGTTGCTGCCCCTCAGCACGGTGTCTTCTGCGCAGTATGCACAATATAAGGTTTAGTTTCTATTATTTAAACGATTCAAATATTTCATTGCGATTAATCACATTTTTTTCCCTGTTCTAAATGTCTCTTGAGTTGAAAAGGGATTGGATGAAGCAAAAATCTATATATATATAAATATTTATCCAATCCCCTTCAAAAATAATTTGAACTGTCTATTATAGGCAACTCAATCTCTTCATGCTTTTGTTATTGCTTTTGTTATTGCTATTTACAACATGACCTGAAGAGTAGTGTTGTAGTTTTTACGTTACTAGTTCAATTTGGAGAGACGAGAAACAAGAAGCTTTGAGTATTTTATTGGGAGGAGGTTTGGCGCCCTAGGCCCCGGTGCGGCCTTCGGATCGGAGGGCCTCCATGCGAAGGAGCGAGCCAATCCCCCGGGACCTAGGCACTGGTGGCGGCATTTTGCAGCGGGAAGCAGATTGAAGGCAGAATGAAGGCAGGGTGAAGAGGAGGAGGAGGGGAGGCGGTGGTTGCAGGCTTCGAGAAGGCCGAGAATGGGAGTTCCTCCGCTTTTAAGCAGCTTGCCTGGCTGGACCGGTGATTGGAAGGGGGCGTTTGCCGTGCGATAGGCTGGGGATGAGAACCGGCCTGGAGGGGTTACCTTTGGCTGACGTCTACCAAATTGAACTTTCGCTGGCTGCATTTCAATTTGGAGAGACGAGAAACAAGAAGCTTTGAGTATTTTATTGGGAGGAGGTTTGGCGCCCTAGGCCCCGGTGCGGCCTTCGGATCGGAGGGCCTCCATGCGAAGGAGCGAGCCAATCCCCAAAAAGGTTGTGAGTTGATGGAGTTTTGCAGCCTGGTTTGGAGGGGACAGACGTCGAGACTACTCTATGCTGTGACCGCTATCGCTATATACTGTGACCGCTATCGCTATATACTGTGACCGCTATCGCTATATACTGTGACCGCTATCGCTATATACTGTGACCGCTATCGCTATATGCTGACGAGTCGCGACCATCGCGCGCTAACCATTTTTTGCTATATACTGTGACCGCTAACCATTTTTTGCTATATACTGTGACCGCTAACCATTTTTTGCTATATGCTGTGACCGCTATCGCTATATACTGTGACCGCTATCGCTATATACTGTGACCGCTATCACTATATGCTGTGACCGCTATCTACTGTGACCAAACTTGCGGATACTCAGCTGCTGCCGCCACCAGGAAGTTTAGCGAGCATTTTAAGAAGATGCCAAAAGCCGCTGGGCTGCCAGGATGGAAGAAGTGTCAGGCCTGATGTATGAGGAGAGGGCCGATGATGACCAGCGGCCCAGCTGCTGGAGGGCGGAATAGGGGAGCCCAAGGGACGCGGCGCGCGTGGCGGCGCCTATCCGAAAGGAGTGGGCTGTGTAGAGATGGGGAGACATGTTACAAAGCAGCAGTACGGACCTGAGTTGGGCTCTGAACCAGTTGGAGGACATAGGGAGGTTATCGGGGGTAAGAAATAATGGTCCGTTGAGATCTCCTTTCCGAGAGCGGAGGCGAGTGTACTGCATCATGGATCTATAGGGACAGGGAGAAGTGTCAGACCGGGCTATGACTATATTGCAAGCGCCTTTGCGTTTGGATGCTTGAGGTGGAGGTTGAAGTAGTCGGGATAATATGACAGGTCAGAGAGGCAATGTCTCGGGATGCATTTAAAGGTGGCGTGAGAGTTTGTGAATTCGCTTATGCGTAAGAAGCCCATTTTCATGTAGGATGCAGCGGAGTAGAGAAGGTGAAGAGACGGAGGGACTAGACCAGGGCGAGGGATTCCGTGCAGGGGATCTGGCATGGCGATGGATTGGCAGAAGGGCAGAGGCGTCAGAACTCCTGGAATTTAAAGCGAGAGAGAGAGTCAGCAAGACAGTTAGGTGACGAGGGACGTGACGAGCAGTGATGATAAAATGTTCAGGACTGAGAGCCATGTGATGCGTCTAAGGAGGGTGTGATTTGGGGAGAGGATGAACGACCTCTGTTAATTATTTTAATGACGTCGAGGTTGTCGCACGTCACGGAAATCCTTTCCTATGCCACGTATGGTTCCGCAGCACGCAGGCTACGGTCATGGGATATATCTCGTGGAGCGCGGAGGAGATGCTTCGAGGGAAAGTGACGGGTCGGGGCCCGGCGAACCACTGGTCCTGGAAACCCCCAAAACCCACGGACGGGGCTGCGTCCGTGAAGAACCGCGGGGCATCTGAGACAGGATGATGTCAC